ATTTCTAATGGTGGTCTAACAATGATTGATTGATGATTTCAAATGTGTAAAAACACAAACCTCCAAAACTCTAACTGATAATATTTATTGAACTACAATAATAACAATCAAAATGGAATATGATATATTCAGATAAATATTAACCAATTAAAAACAATATTTATTGCGCTACATTCTCAGTATTATATATAACTACATATATGTATGTATGTATTTGTGAAACATCTTGACATCCCTAACTTCCGCTCTATTAGTAGACTCTTCTATCAGTTTGATCAATTCATTCGGATATAAATTTCATTAGTTAATGTGTAAGGACATACTTACTGTATCTAATCCTGTCAACAAATCCGTTACATGTTTAATAAGAAAATCCGGAAAATAATTTGAGGTCATCAATAAAACAATGATGACCAATCGATTATCTATGTATCTGGCTAACATTTTGTCCATATATCGGGATAAGTATGTTTTCAATTTTTTGAAAAAAAAAATTAGGTTATCGGACATTGTAAAACTTATATAATGAGTAATGATTTAAGAAATTTTTGTTAAAAGTATTATCTAGTACATTGTTTCGCGTTATTCATTGATATAAACATATATATATATATATATATATATATATATATATATATATATATATATATATATATATATATATATATATATATCCAATAAATAAAATCAGATGTCGTCAGCTATCGGTGCAAGTGGAGTCCTTTACTTACCATCTCCATTACTTTCTTACTTACACCTGTTACTCCCGACCAGTATTCTCCAACCTACTCTCTCCTGGGCCTTTCTTTGTAGTTATGTTCAACTGATATTCATTCTTCTCATGTCTATCTCCATTTCACAGCGTAATGTGATTTTTGGTCTTCCTTTTCTATTTTGGCCTTGAGAATTGAAAGTAAGTACTTGCGTTGTAATGCAAATGGGTGCTTTCCTCAATATGTGTCCTATCCACCTTTAGCGCTTCTTCTTGACTTCTTTTTCTGCTGGAGATCTTGTTTGTTTTCTCCCACAGTAGGTTGTCTCTGATGGTATCTGGCCAACGGATCTGAAGTATTTCGCGTATACAACTATTACTAAACACTTGTATCTTTTGGATGATGGGTTTTGTAGTTCTCTAAGTTTCCGCTCCCATGACATTTACATTGAAAATTGTGACTTTGGCGTTAGTTGATAATAGTTTTGAGTTGTGGATGTTCTTCAGCTGCATAAATGCTACTCTTACTCTGCTGATCCACGTTGCTCATCACTGATGCTGTCCAAATGTATATATGTTCTCACATCTTCCAAAGTTTCTCCATAAAGTGTAAATCGTGTAGTGTGTGTTTGGGTGTTTCAGCGATTCTTACTTTTTGTCTTGTTTATGTTGAAGCCTATTGCTGTCGAATCATCATACATTTGACTAATTATTGTATTGCTTAATGTTAGCTAACGATACAACTCAATCGATTGTTAGATCATTTTGATTTTCTATTTAAAGCTTCAGTTAGTTAGTTATGCCATCATATTGAAAGTTAACAATACTTTTTCTCCATCAACTTTCGACAATCTATTCCCTTATGGTTGTTCAATATTATTTAAATTCAATGAAATGTAGCATAGAAACCTTAGAATGTAAATGCAATATGTTAATGGTTATTCCCACAAAGTTTCCCACTCTACCGAAGCTGCTACCTTGACGTGGCGGTCGGGCTTGCCTATCGTGATGACCCAACCGAGCTATATTGGCTGGGATTCATGTTCCTGAAGGTTCTACCATGCCAGGCAGGTCGATTGGAGAACGATGAGACTAAAAGCAGCTACCCTAGGTCTGAGGGCGAAGTCGTACTGCTGACTGCAGAGGGGTGTGACAGCAGTAAGGCGTTTCCCTCGGACAACCAGCATCTGCAGCGATCCTGCCTTCTCACAAGGAAGGAAGGGTTAGAAAAGGTCGACCCTAAAAATGTCACACCTCTAACTCACGGACTTCCTTCTCCGTCGGTAAGGGTGCTCACTAAGGGCTTTCAAGAGCGGAGCTAATACTCAAAAAACCTTTCATAAAAAGGCCGTGCGTGACCGGACTCAGGCAGTTGTCCCTTGGGCTCTGCGGTCACGCTCCCAGGTCGTTAAGACCAACACTAATCTATCTTCCTTTTTAGGTCCCTCAAGAAACAACCTTCCACGGTGTGGGCAGTCGGGAAATGATAACCGCCCTCATACCCGTAACAGTACGAGAGACAAAATTGGTCAAAATCAAATCCTTCCTACACCCTCTAGTACCTCTCTTATCTCCACGACTAACTCTTCTCACATTCATTTATCACAGTGCACAGCTAATGCAGACGATGCGAGTTCGCGAAACGTCGTTCCTCGTCTCCTTAAACCTCGCTCTAGACTACATGTTGGAGCATTTAATGTACGGACATTGAGTCAAATAGGGCAACAGGCTTTGTTAGCTAGGACTTTAGAATCTTGTGCCATTGATGTGTGACTTCAATGCTCAAGTAGGTAGACTAAGTGAAAATGAAAGACACCTAGGTGGGTGTTACGGTTTCACGGCTCAAAGAACAGACAGTGGCGACCGTCTGTTGCAATTGTGCTCAGATAACCGCCCGTTTCTAGCAAACACTAATTTTAGGCATAAGGAAAAACATCTTTTGACCTGGCGACCCCCGAAGTCGTCTCAACGTTGGACGCAACTAGATCATATCGCCATCAGCCACCGATGGGGGGGTTCGATAGAGAACTGCCGCTCGTTCTGGGGCACATGTTTAGATTCAGATCATGCCCTAGTGCGATCTCGTATTTGTTTGAGGCTTACTGGACGTAGGAAAGACACCGTAAGGAAGCCTCTTAGGGCTTTACTTGATGATAATCAAGCTAAGAAAATATTTCAGGAGGAACTAGAAAAACAGTTAGGCGACCACGCAAGTGATTCCCATCCGGAGTCAGGTTGGAATGATATCAAGAAGGCAGTGGAAACAGCAGTGATATCTGCTAGCAAGGTTGACCATAAGGCTAGGATGAAGCCATGGATTTCAGTCGCATCCATTTAAACCAATAATGTTTTGCCTATTTCATTACTTACTATACAACAACAAAAATACTATATATCTTTTTTCACTTTTTTTTAGGCTTTCCCTTGTAACACCTTTATGCTGTGCTGTATTCCCACAAATGAGTTCTATTCCATTTGATAAACTTGAACCTAATGTACAAGCTTATATTAGAGAAACACGATCATCTGGTCGATTACCTTCAATTGTTTATTATAATAAAGGTTTATAATCAATCAATGTGTTTTAGATAATCAACAAAAAAAATATACATACATGAATTTTTTTTTTCAATTGAATTTAAATTCCATCCATATCTTTAGAGAGAAGAAAACAAACAAACTAATTTTCTACTGATAGATGTTATATTGATTAAATTGCATTTGAATTATCATTCCAATGTATTATTTGAAATAGTTTACCCTAGGCCTAATGTATTTAATACAAATTTTTTTCGTGTGTATGAAGTAATTGGTTTTATTCATTTTATACAATATTTTATTACTATTTTTATGCTTGTCAAATTGATATGTTTGAACTTATTACAAGTTCACTTTAGTCTGTAAATAAGAGTGAAGACAAATGATCCAGCGACACGATAGGTTACTCTAATCTGAGTGTCTTAAAGCCCCCCCCAGTTGCTTACTTACTTACGCCTGTTACCCCCAATGGAGCATAGGCCACCCACCAGTTTTCGCCAACCAACTCTGTCCTGGGCTTCCTTCTCCATTTCTGTCCAATGTTTGTTCATTCCTCTCATATCTTTCTCTGTTTCTCGGCGTAATGTATTCTTTGGCCTTCCTTTTGCCTTGAGGGTTCCATGTGAGGGCTTGTCTTGTGACGCAGTTCGGTGCTTTTCGCAGTGTGGGTCCTATCCACTTCCACCGCTCCTTCCTGATTTCCTCCTCCACTGGAATCTGATTTGTTCGTTTCCACAGTAGGTTGTTGCTGATATTGTTTGGCCAACGAATCCGAAGTATTTTGTGTAGACAACTGTTAATAAACACTTGTATCTTCTGGATGATGGCTTTGGTAGTTCTCCAAGTTTCCGCTGCATGCAGTAGAACTGTCTTGACATTTGTATTGAAAATCCTGATTTTGGTTTTGGTTGATATTTATTTGGAGTTCCAGATATTTTTCAACTGTAGAAACGCAGCCCTTGCTTTGCCGATCTGCGCCCTCACATCTGCATCGGATCCACCTTTCTCGTCGATGATCCTGCCCGGATATGTAAAGTTGTTAACGTCCTCGAAAGCATCTCCATCAAGAGTGATTTGGCTGGTGCAATGCTGATGTGGTATGACAACTTAAAAACAGATGTACATACATACGCACGAAGTTAACGGTATCAAAAAGTTTTGGTATGACGTAGAAGGTGTATTCTACAAGCACTCAGAAAATATGATGTTTTTTACAGAAGAAGAGGAGCATAAAACTTTACAGACTATGCATATTTATACAGTTAAGTCGACTGTGAATACAAACCAATAGGAAACAACATTTAAAAGTATGTGAACTTGATAATTTAGGACGACCTTGAATATTGACCAATAGAATTAGACTTACAAAATAATTTTTTAGGATGTTTAATGAATAATATCCGAACAACTATACTCATAATGATAATCATAACATTTTAAATTGTTGTATATTCCAAAGATTGGAACACATGAAAAATTGTAGATAGATGATATATGTTAGGTCGACCATTGAGTATGGGGCTAATACAGAATAAAACCGTCCAATCCATCTCCAGTTCGCAAATCAAAAGCTGGAAGAAAACAGAAGAAATGTTTCCTTCAGCAAGTATAGGGAAATCGTAAAAAGTGAGAAAATTATAATCATCCAATCGCCATACGCCACATTGACATTTTAGAGATTCTATCGAGCCGTGATTGGATAACAGGGCTTCGGCTTCATAGGAGCCCCTGATGGCTTCTGTGTGCCATCCTAACAATATCTTTAAGTTTATTGATGCTTCTTTTTTTCTATTGAGGAAGTGTTCATAGTAAGTAGACATAGTTAAGGATTGTTTTACACTTCTTAGCTTTTTAAAGGTATACTCATTGGTCGGCGGCCTAAGCTCCATTAAGAGTAACTGGCTCAAGGGTAAGGTGTTTCAGTGAGTGCTCTTCTATTAGTTGTTAATATTATCTCGTGGTTTAATACAATGATAAATATATTTTCTTGATAGACAGTGATAATCAATAACAAATAAGTGTCCAACCTTCATACTTTATTTAAACCATAAGAATGTCACACTTGTAACTGAAAACAATAATGACTGAACTGAAACACGAAATTTCACCTATACATTTAACTAGCTTAAAACTATCATGGAAGAATTCTAAGATTTAGGCAGATTGGTCTCACTATTATTATTAATGTTGTTCTAACCGCAAAGCGATATGAATGAACGACTTCTACAGCATAGTTCATAAGCATAATTCACTCACTTCATTTCGAGTGCAATTTTCTATACTTTTGTCATGTGTATTACAAACTAAAAGATAGTTGTTTAGTTTTGAACCTCAGTGGCGTTTTGATTTTGACTGAATGTGGAGTCCATAGTTTCCTAGCACTTAGAAAGTTCGCTAATCAAATTTAATTGAATCTTAATATGTTAGGGTAAATGTGTAAAGATAAATTTTTTGTCTGAAAATACTCCTCAACACTCCACAGAGCATAGAGTTTAGTTTTGCAAACTTCCTTGGATTAAGCGTCGATTTGTATGATCCCTGAGTTTTTGATGCCCTGGATCTTCGCGACTTTTTACAATGAACATGGGTGGTTCGTAACTAAGTCGAAATTCAGGAATTGTTTTTTGGCAAATATTAAAACCATTCGTCCAGAAAACCTACTCTGTGCTGTCAAGTAATGATTAAATTGTGGTAGTTGGGATGGTTGTTGCCAAGTAAAAACTCCCAAACGAAGTAGAATCATAGCAGAAAGACAATTATAGTATAACGATATTTATTGATTGGAAGTCGCGTGATATCAAAATAATATCACGTGTTCAGCCAGACGACGAAATAACACGAAACGATCAATAAAGCCACAGGGTTGGTGAGGCCGACGAGATTAGCGCTTGAGTTATGACTTTAAGTACAGATAAACAGAAGATGTACAGTAAAAAAAGTTATTGTTACACATGTTCAGTAATAAGTATTTACATGCCAGCAATTATGTTTTCTTCATAAAACAGTTCCACTACAAAATCCTCTCATCAAACACACCAACTAGCAAAAATACGAGCAAGTCGAAAAATCATATTTCTTCACACTTTGACAAATTTGTTTTTCCTCAAAGCACAAACAAGCACCGCATTCGAATTCTGAGCAGACGAGAACAAAGGTTAAAGATGATTTAACTTCAGGGCAAGATGACTTTTCTGAAAGAAATATAATGTTCTCAGTTTACATGATATATGGATACGGAAAATTTCTGTTTTTTCTATTCTCACTAATATCCCCGCACAATCCTCTCCCCAAATTCCGAATCAAAGGAAAGAAAATGAAGTTGCTAACAGCCTATGGGCCATAAATTCTCCTCCGTTTCAGTGAACAAATGATCATCTGGAAGTATGCAGTGATATCAGTAACCTCATTTACATCCACACTTGCCAATCACAAAATCAATAGGTTGACTTCTGAATCTAAACGTAGCTCATGCTTTAGTGAATATGGTCAACTTAGGGTTCTCCATCATCAGGAAACATAAATTTTGGACTACTTGGAATTCGCACCTGCATAGCTCATTCCTTCAAACCACCGAAGATGCTGTGGAAGTGGAGTTCCTCATATCCTATTTATGAATGACACAAGCACTACTAATATTCGCCCTAGAATATAATGCTAAACTGATTGCCGGTATTAGGAATTTAACAAAAGAATTCAATGTTCTTGATGGAGGGATAGTCGACACGCTTCTATGTCGTATTGCATTTTCACCACCAACGCATTGGAAGTAATTGATTTACCAGCCTTGAGCCTCCCGCATATATTGAACAACATCTCGGACAACGTCCTTATAAAATTTTTTTGATAAATAAGTCCCCCCAAAAAGGGTTTAGTAAGTCCTTGGAATTACTGCTTAACTCAATAATTTTACTTGGGGCCTCTGTTTGAAGGTATTCGGTTATATATCTACATCAAACTGCGTTCCAGTACGCCGTGCTGAGTATATGTAAAGACAACTGATCAACTCGAATCACAGGCTTCTCGACTCAAAGACCATTCACCAAATAAATCTTTGTATCTCTTCACACCTGACTTTCAGTTCGAACAAAACGTTTTCCCAATAAGTCTCATAGGCGTCTACATCTTTACGCTAATTAAAGGATCCCTTCTTTCAATCCATCAGTCGTCACAAAAACTATTACTAATCAGACACCGAACATGGTGACGTTGATGCTTATTTTTCAAACTGCTTTTTCGAAACGACAAACAAATAAATGAATAAACTTGCTTAAATTAGACTATTGATAATTTCACTGGTAATCTTGATTTGTTTCTGGTAATTAGTACAATGAAACTAATTTGTTTGCACTAACCTTACACTCCCTCCTAGTAAACTTGATTCGCCCTACAAAAGCGGACCAAACCGGCGACAAGGACACCGCAACCCGAAGCAGTTCATTGACTAAACTACCGGTTGTCGTAGACTCACCAGTATGTGTTAACATTTTGGAGCAGTGAGTGAGCGTAAAGAAGTTTGAAACGGCAGAACTACAGCTTCAGAAACGATACAAATAAGGGGCAAAGACCTTAGTAAAAATTCACTGTTCCAGTGTTGGGGGGTGGCTTTCAGTAAAGTTCGTCTGTCTTTGATAAATTATAGTTGGATAAATACAGCACATTGCTTGAAATGTGTAGTACCCCCACATAACTATGCTGTCCGTTTAAGTCTCAGAATGTTGCTAAAGAGAAATCCCATTGAATGAAAATGACAAGTCTCCAAAGAAATCCTCCTAACATCTCAGAGACCCTTGATTAAACTATCCCCACACGCTCGTAAACCCATGAACACTATTAACAGCTTCCAGAACAACAAGAGATACCCAGGAACCAATCAACATAGTGGTTCATGGAGTGTCTGAGCACATCTTATGGCAGTATAATTCATAAATCGGGAAAACCTAACCTCAGGCGTCAAAACTATAAAAATAATTTTTTTCGCAAATTAAAACATGTTACGAGATGCATGCCAATTAACAGGCAATAATAAAATGATAAAACAGCCAACATATTTACTGTAAAAGGTTACTCATTATACAAAACCATTTCTCCAGTTACGAAGGATGTTGCTACAGCCGACATAGATCTGTGAGGCAAAAACAGGGAAGCCAAAATAAGGGCACAATAACGTCAGTCGACCTAGATCAACAACCAACGGCGCGAGACACGTAGATCAAGGTCTCGCCCACTGA